AATGGAAATCTGTTCTACAACATGCAACTGAGAAACACCCAAAAGTGCGAACGTATTTATGCTGGACCCCAAAATATGTTTCGCTCTATGGGGTCGGACCCCGAAGTACGATTGGCACATAAATGCAGCTTTTCATGGGATTTTGTTTCTCGCTTTTCTCTTATTTGCTAAAAGTAGCCTTTGTTGCGAAAATATATATCCAAAGCTCAGTTAAAAGGTTAAGTTTATCAGACTATGCAGATACCGACGTCAACAATGTTTTTCTTAAGGTGTGAAAAAACTATATGTACGAGTATACTAGCCCAAATTAAACTGATTTATTTATCTTATTAAGCAATTAGATATGACATGCACTGTCATAATTTAAATCAATTATTGAAAATATTTCCGGGTCGGTTGAGCTTGGAAAGGGACGAAGATTGAAATAACAAGTTCCCTTCTATTTTTGCCCTACAGGACTGCCTTTAGCAGAATTTAAAAATTCCCCCTGAAACAAAACTCGCACTACATCTAATGAAGAAATAGAAAAGGGTATAATAGATAACCTCTCTATCTCTGAACACGTACAAATGGGATAATGCTAACATTATCAGTAATTGCATGTCTAGCTTTCTGTAATCTAAGTCAACAAATAAATGTTCTATCTCGTTTCGTTGATATAATTAAATAATTACACTGCCTGTGTTTTATCATACTTGTAAGGATATATGAGTGAATGCAGAAGTATAAGCTTAAAGGGATACTTAGGCAAAATAATGACAAAAATATCAAAATTATCTTATGTACTCAAAATGAAGTTAAAATGGCATTTGTGAAAGTCCCAGCATGAATTTTGGTATAAATTCTATATATTTTGGGCTTGAAGCGTAAATAAATCTACATATATTGAACAAAATTTAGACACCGACAGAATCACCGAGTATGTTTAAAACTAGTCATGTGACTTGAACAAACCATGGAAGTTACAATAACACATATTGTGGATATTGTATGATTGAAACAAACCTAAATCATTCATTTGATATATTCTTTAACGTTTCCATAGTTTACTGTGACACCTATGGTGAAATTTTAATGCTCTAACCTGACCCACGTGGGTCAAGTTAGGAAACCGCCATTTTATTCTTTATAAGGAGAAAAGTTTTGTTCCGGTGACTGCCTAGTGTATTTATTTTATGGACATTTACAGATTAATAAATGAAAAATTCGAAACGAAGAAAAGCAAATTTTGCCTGTGTCTCCCTTTAAACGTACCTAAATTTTGGATAATTCGTACTAAATTGTTTAATTAAGTAAGTTGTATCAAGATTAAAAATAATAATAATTATTCCTTTAAATACTAGTACGTAATTTACTGTTGGCTCATTTTTTACGCAACTATTTGGTTACAGTTATGTAGTTGGATGTACGTCTTTACTTTAAATAAGCATCGCATCGTTACAGAAATCCTTCAGACTTATGACTTATACATATTCTTTATAGTTTAGGTATGCCAATAAATATTTAATGGTCATGTTACCCAATGTTACTCATTGACCAATTAAGATTGAAATCATACCATATATGATCTCAATTTAAATTCTTACCCTGACATAAACTTTATTTGTTATCATTGTATGCACACAATAATAATTCAGTTCTTTCCCTTTTAATAATTTACCCATTAAAATGAGATAACTGAAATCTATAAAAAGCCTTGGCTGACTATTAACGGTTCAATTCACTCGTCAGGGTTCGAAGGTCTATGTACAGTAAAAACCCTCAATTAAGACCACCATCGGGACTGGTCCAAAGTGGTCTTTATTGCGGGTGGTCTTAATTGTGAATATTCTTATTGCTTACATACTTTATGACCATGGTCTATTTTAGTCATGTTATATGAACAAACAATATGTATATTAACAATATAAAAGTATGTTATAATATATAATCTGATCTAAAAATATTTCTGAGAAATTTAACATTAAATTCTATTTGGTCTGATTTCAATATTAATCATTAAATGATAAATATAATTCACCTGTAAAATAAGAAATTAATTCTTCACAAAATAAATGTGCTGAAAGCAACATTAAACTACTCTAAAATTTACTTTCTCACCTTTTTTCATACAACAACCCAAATAACAACAGTTGTGGACACCTTGTTAAATCAAGACTAGTGTCAAGCTTAAGAGCATTCAAGCAGATCATAACAAAATTTAAGATAAGATAGGTGTTGACTTTAATATCAATGGTCTCAATAGAGGGGTCAAATAGAAAATAAAACAATGAATTGGGACTGAACCTGGTGGTCTTAAAAGTGTATAAGCGGGGTGGTCTTAATTCTGGATCATGTAACCATTGATATAAAGATCAGAAAATTCTGTTCTTTTAAAAAATGGTCTTAATAGCGGGGTGGTCTTAATTTCGGGGTGGTCTTAAGTAGGGATTCTACTGTATATTATTGAATTATTAATAACAAACATCGCCCAACTAATGTTAATATTTTAGTAATAAGGAAATAGATATTACATTTGAACGATTAAACATAAATGATTGTACCACAAAGCAGAAAAAGATATCCGATTTTTTGTTCATATATAGAATTGATAGAAATAAAAAGTATGGGAGGAAGTAAATTCCATGGTCTTACTTCTCTCTTTTTGATAAATAATATATTCCAAACTGACTTTATCGCTCAATAAAATTACTTTTCGGAGTTCCGATGAAAGGAATTATATTACGAGGGCGTAGCCAAGTGATAAAATGATGCCCATCAGAACGACAAAAGAAATTCGTGATCAAGTAATTAGGAAACTTTCTCTGATTTTTTTCTTTTGCTGTTATTGTAGATTTTACGACGCACAATTCGATTTTTTGGCTTACCTCGGGTGTTACAATCTTTAAAGTAACACCGGGGTCAAAGCTATCTCACCTACTGGAGCTAACAGAGTCATGGTTTCCAATTATTCGGAAACGTATAGTCGCCTCTAATGATCACGCAGTGATACACGGTGGCTGCAATACTTATGCCCGAATAAATAAATGCAACCCATCATGACTTTTTTTGAAGTTATTATACTTTACTCTATTATTCCGTATTTTATTCTACTTCTATTTTATAAAACTGAAACATTCACAAGTAGATCAAAATAAATATTTTTACATTACAATTACTCTAAAATTGTCTGAAAGATATTATAATAAATTAGCCTACCGTTAAAGTGTGCCATAGAAACATATCCATATATCCATAAGTTTTAATGGAAAACACTATAATATAACAAAGGAGAGGTAAGATTTCATATAATATAATATTTAACAATAATTTCGTTCATTAAAAATGAGCGCGCATGAACAGGGATGTATTGTATACAATGTGTGAATAAGACTGAAACCAACCGTGTAAAATTGTTTTATTATTTGAGATTGTCAGTGCGTCACTATTAACTTTATCTTAAAATACATGTTATATAATATGCCCTTTTCATCTTGACATAAAAGTCGAATGCCTGAACTATCGCATTTTTGTTTTATATAATAAAAATAAAAATCATTGCAACATATGTAGCAAATTTCAGTGTTGTTTAATGTATAATTATTCTTGAGCTTCAGTAGGGACTAATGATTTTAATTCATTTCAATAATATTCTTCGTTGAAAACACATTTTCTTATGAATATAAAAGGCTAACAAAACAACATAAACTTAAACATCAAACGTATGTACAAAACAATAACAAATATAAGAACAATATAAAATTTAAACACAATTTTCATATTGAATGCGTGAAACTGTAATATTTGCATGAACACTGTTTAAATAAATAAAAATGTTACAAATAAGAGAGAATGACAAACAATAAAATTCTCATTTAACAACTGACAAAATATTGTTACAAATTCAATGTCTTTTTTTCTTCAGATTTTGAAGTAATTTAGATATGAAAGTTATACATTCTTTTGTTATCGCCAAAAGATATACAGGTATCTACAGTGATCGTTGTGACAATTTAGATATTACCAATTATAAACCCAGCCCCATAAAATAACATCGAATTCTAAATGAAATATATTTGAAAGGGGAAAAAAATGAACAATTGATAGAACTGATCTAACTTGATATTTGATCGCCATGTGATTTAAAATGTTTAAAGTATTTTACAAAGACGAAACATAAACAGTTTTCCTTATGATGTAAAGTAATATCTTAATTGATGCATGAAATTTGTAGAGTTGGTTTCAAGTTCAACCTTGGATACATTTCATGCATATAACTCGATAATGTGTTCGTTTTCCTTGATATCAGCACTGAATTCTACCTTTGCTGCTTACGAATATTCACGAGTGAATATAATTATAACTCCTCCTTTAAAAATCCGAAACATGTCAGCAAAAACTGATTATTCTAAGACAAGTTACCAGTGCAGACCAAGAATAACCGTGCCGACCATTCATGGTATGCACTGTTCACTATCCAGTATTTTTAATAGATATTTTCCCTAAAAGTGATGAATAGTTTTATCCATATTAAAAGATGGACAAGTCCATTTTTAAGATATGTAGCGTGTGGTATGGGTTAATTTACCACGATGTTTACTTTAGAGCGTACTTAATGAAAGTGTTTGTTTACATTTTGAGCGGAGTAGTGATTTATCAGCTTGAATTTTACCATGAATTGAACTTTAAAATTTCAGGTATATAATTAGAAATTACATACTATTAAAAAATATTTAAAGATACCATTCACATAATTATCTTAAATTTGAACCACATTTACTGTTGTCAAAGGAAGCAATTCTTATTTATAAGTCTTTAACTATGTACAGTAATATCAAAACAATTAGGTGCATTGATTAACCTATCAGAAACTAATATGAAACATAATATGGTTATTTGAATTTGCGACTTGAATAATTAGAACAGATTTTAACTTAATTAGATTAAAGATATATGAAAAAATGTATGAATAAAAGCGAATTGAATTAAATGCATATATATGTTTATAAAATCAAACTTACCGGAAGTCACCTTTGTTGTTGGAAGTCACCTTTATTATTTATGAGATTTTTTTCGTCACATATTCCAGCTTAGAAGAGATATCCGATTTAAGCTAACCTATTGTTACAACCAACCTATTCTGAAGTTAATGTATGTAAAGAAAGATAATGCTTATATAGTCATGATTGTATGAAACGAGATACTGTAAAAGTATAAAGTACCAAAATAAACGATCTCTTCCTCTTCTTCTTCTGTATATAAAGATTATGATTATTGTTAAAAATTACAATTTCACCAAAAAGTGTGTTAAACCGATACATATCTGTATATAGTGAAACAGTTTAACCGGTTGTGACAAAATAAATAATACAATTAGATTTTTCAATAGAACCCTGTGTAACATGATAGTTAAATCCGAGCGCATCAGTGAAATTGTCAAACAAGTACACACGTCCTATCATTTATTATGTAATGTCTGCGATATTCATACATATTTTGCTATACATATCATTTACACAGTTGATAAGAGACACAATAATTATGCAATGCTGTTTATAGTTTTCCGCTTAAATAATTGTACGTTTATATGATCTATATAAAAAGGTTTCCTGTCTACATTAATCTAAAGTAAACAGTTTTCTATTTTATATGAGCTGTGATTATTTTCTTCTTCATATCATCTATAAAGATCAATGCATATAAATTTAACCAAAATGCATTATTTTTTTTACTATTTTCACTTTGTGTATATAACAATTTATAAAATCTCTAAAATGTGTCTGGTTACATAACTTTTTATAGGAACAAATGACGAAAAGAATACCTGCTGAGGTTATTTATTATATTTGAATTTTAAACAGTCAATCAAAAGTGTAAGAATTTTCAAAATAGAAATACCAAGTTTTCAGCTGCCAACACTACCGAGCCAATAGTCGGAGTTATTTTTTAAACAGTCAATGAAAAGTATAAGGAAGTTTGTAACACTTGACTTTAGCCAAAATCATCTTTCCTGTTTCGGCTCCATGTGACTGAAATTGTGTGTGTTCGCCGTAAAACAAAACAATAAAGTATGAACATGGACGTGCAGACTTGCCTTGCTACTGGTTCCACAGGCTTATCTCTCTCAGAATATACGGTTTTTGCAGATTAATTTTTAATCAATAAATCGAAGTATTCCGTGATATATCATGTCAGAATGTTGAATAATAATCGTACACAGAGATAAACGTTTCTCTTTGTAATGGCCCCTTATAGAAGTGAGCTTTTTAGCACGTAAATTAAAATATAGCTATCGTTTAATTGCTGATAAAAGTTATGATAAATTATGAAACACATTGACGATAATGTAATTCTACATTATGTTTTCGCTAGTTTTGCAAGTGTATCATGATTCCTTGATACACTGGGACTTCGAGTATTTAATTTGTTTAATTTTTTAGGGCGATTGTTACTATGCAAATTTAATTGCTTAATTGGTGTTTATTCACATTGCAAGAAATTTGCAATAAGAGATCAAAATCTACTGCTTCTCTTGGCTATTCCTGCTACTACTATTATAAATACTACACATATTTACGGTTTGCTCCTTAGGTGTCCGTACTTTCAGTGCCTTAAAGGGCGGATAGATATTCAAGAATCGCTCCTTAATACTTCAAAAGTTTGTCATTTCAAACTGCTGCGACTGCTACTGATACTGCTACTGTATTAGTTACTATTACTGCTGCTGCTGGTGGTACTACTACTACTACTGCTACTGCTGCTGCTGCTGCTGCTACTGCTACTGCTACTGCTACTGCTACTGCTACTACTACTACTACTACTACTACTACTACTACTACTACAACTACTTCATGTACTACTACTACTGCTACTACTACTACTACTACTGCTACTACTATTATTACTACTACTACTACTACCACTACTACTATAACTACTACTACTACTACTGCTACTACTATTACTACTGCTACTACTGCTACTACTACTACTACTACTACTACTACTACTACTACTATAACTACTACTACTGCTACTACTACTACTACTACTACTACTGTTACTACTACTTCATCTACTGCTACTACTCCTATTGTTGGCTGCTACTGCTGATGAGTAATGCTACTGCTGCTACTGATACAAAGGCAAAATAAATGAAGAAAATCCAAGAGTTATTGCAAGAAGAAGAAGAAGAAGAAGAAGAAAATTTTATTTAACTTATACATTTACATGTATCTCGCTATACATCAATACATATAAAACATTTTGTCACGGTTGGTATTCAAATGAAAGAAAATAATTGGTATTGTCCGAATTTTCTTTGCATTAATATTTAACTGATCACAACTATACAACTTACAATACAATACACTACTGAGTTTGAAAATGATTACTGCTTATGCCGTTGCTACAATGCATTACAGATATTACTCCCATTAACAGACGGTCATTTTTCCCATTTACATTTTTTACCTCGCAGCATCTTCCTATATCAATACTTTTGCACGTTCAATATTTCAGGACACGTTTGCAAGATCATTCAAACAAAGAACTATGTCATACTTATACATCTTTGTTCTCCGATATGATACTTATTCTGTTGATCTGATGGAATTATGAGGAGTTGTTGTATGACAGATTAGTGATTCTTGTGGATCCTATTTATGCTTTCTGGTTATTTATTTGGAAACACGATGCTAAGTCGTAAATCATTTGTCAGCTAACTATAACAATGAGAGCGTCATACAAATATATATACCATATATATATAATTTATATAAAGTGAAAGAAACTGAAAATATATCTTTAACTGAAACACTGAGTGATTTTAATGTTCCGAAACTAACAGAAATTGATAAGCAATCCATTGAGGGAGCTCTGACATACACCGAAATGTTAAATTCTTTAAAACGCATGTCTAATAATACTAGTCCTGGAAATGATGGTTTTACAGTAGAATTTTTCAAATTTTTCTGGAATGATATTGGCACATTTTTAGTAAGGTCAATTAATTATGGTCACTCAATTGGAGAATTATCAATTACTCAAAAACAAGGAGTCATAACCTGTATACCCAAAGGTAATAAAGATAAACTTTACTTAAAAAATTGGAGACCTATTTCTTTATTAAATGTTGCTTATAAGGTAGCCTCTGCCTCAATCGCTTTTCGTATTAAAAATGTATTAGTTAATACTATCAGGGCTGGGAATCAAAACTGCGTCGTATCCTACAAAATGTAAACAAACGCCGCCATCTTGGAGCGAAAAATGTATGTTTTTGTTTATAACTCTTTTTGTTGGAAATGACTGAAAACAAGATATATGTATTAACACGCTACACTATTTTCCGCTTCGTTCGGTATATGTTGCTTGCACAACTATTTTGTAAAACAAAAGTTATAGCGAACTTGCAACTCGAAGCGAGGCAGAATTTCTATGAAAATGTGTGGATACGACGCAGTTCATATTGCTTTATCTATCGTTTTTCCTTCAAATCAATTATATACTCGTTTTCAGAGTTCACCATAAACGTCAAAACATAATTTTGCATCATTTACAACTAAACTTTCATTTAAAAGAGATGTTTAATTTCCAAGAAAATAATGATTTTTACGAAATGATACGACGCAGTTGAAAATAAAATATGATACGACGCAGTTGTATTTTCATTGCAGGCTGAATATTGGTTAAACTATTTAAATTATGTGCTAGGTATGCCAATAACGTCCTACAACATTTCTTGTTTACAACTTAAGTCAAAAGCAGAGGTCACTCATTGGTTTCATAAAAATGGAAATGTAATACAATTCTATTAAAGAGCTGCGGTCGCATTTTAGTACTAATCATATTCATCTACAAATTCCGAAAAGCTGTATCAAATGCAATATACATTGAAACACGTGATCGCACACCCATATGACAACGTGTTCTACTGTTGCCTTAGCATGCTAATAAACTTGTTCACGTGAGTTCGAAATGGGAGTGATTACTATTTTTGATACAAAATTCAATATTCCAGTGTAACCTCCACTGGACCCTGTATTAATCAGGAATGACCTTTTTCTTAAAAAAAAGAGAGAAAATTACAAATTTTGAAAAGGTCTCTCGCTATCGGGAATGCGCAAATTGCATGCCTACCGTTGTTACTTGTAATGAGCAATAATTTCCGTCAATTCCGTTATTACTTTTGTCTTTTACGTGCCAATGTTATTGTATTCATTTTCTTAATAATCGACGAGGACAGATGAGCTTTATTATTTAATAATATTATAAATGGTTAAGCTACAATATATTTTTGCAAGTAGGTTATGCGTTCCGTTTAGCCATTTTATGTTCAGCGCTGCGGAACTTTACCCCTGCGTTTCTTTATCGCCGATGAGGAAATGTCTACAGAATGTATTTTCTATACTTGCACTTGAGTATCATTCTTCTAAATCAAAAAACTTTTCAAAATCGAGTTACATATGATACAACTACAAATTATTTTGTAAAAAACGTGTCCGTTTTGCAAAGGTATTGTACGCTATGCACCGATAAATTTGATACAGATATAGGCAGACAGTACTGAAGAATTATTAAGTTTTCACAATATTGAACAGAAAATGTCAGATTATCGTATCGAATTTTCAACAGACTAGAGACATGACATCTTAACATACCTTCATACTAAAGTGTGATTTTTATTTGATAATGAATTGCCTGAAAACTTAAACAAAAGTTTTCAGAAAATGACTTCACAGAGGATTACCCCCTGTTTACATTGAAAATTTCTCTGCTATTAATACCGAAATAAGAAATTTAAATTTTATTCTCTTTATAATTATTTCAAACATTTATAATCTTAAAACTTCACATCAGAAGTTAATAAAAAGCTGCTTATTTGTACAGCTGACGTTAACAAATTTTGTTGGAAAAAAAAAACAAATCAGACAGGTGTGTCCGACCGAGGCCGAGCTGTTTATGTTTACTGAATTCAAATCACTTGAACTGAACTGCTATGAATTCGAAAACCACCAGGGACTTTTTATTCTTTTGTGTGGAAAACCTATCAAGCTAGTTTCAAAATGTCGACGGTTCTCTGCAGGTACAACATTTTGCCTGAAATAATGCACAGAGGCGCACCTGAGGTCCTCGCCCCTAGTAAAGCTAATGTGTAGAGTGAAAGTTTGAAAAGAAACCACAAAAAAGCAGTCAATACCCAGAACATGCAGAACCACAGTTAACTTAGAGCGTAGCTAGCCAAAATGAATTTAAGTTAATAGATTTCTACATCTTTTTTGCGAAAAAAATTAGGGATAATATTGAACATACAGGAAAATATAAGAAATTATTTCAGATATTATGATCAATAAGGTAACATGTTCATGTTTAACTGAAAAGTAGCTTTCGCAATGTAAACTTTCAAATTAAATGTTATATTGGATATGACACATTGTATTCT